GGATGGATGGATGGATGGATGGATGGACGGACGGACGGACGGACAGCTTTGAGTCAAACTATTTCTACCTTTAAACTTGACTTTTTTATCACTTCATTTCTTTCATGATGGCTCTTCCTTTTTGAACCAGCTCTTCTGGTAACCTGTATTGCTGCATTATCTATATGTCAAAGACATTAGTTCTTCTTCCATTTGCCAGCTGAGCTACATAGTACTTGAAAGACTCTTTTTTTGTTTTTCTATTTGAATTATTTTTAAAATCTCCCATCAAATATTCTCTTTATAGAGCTCCATTTGTATGCTTTCTTTCTTAGCTGCTGAAATTTCTATTGCGGTACAGCTTCATTAATTTTCAGGAACATTCAGTACCGTCTACTGTGAGATTCAATATGTTAGGCCCAGTTAAGCCCACTGAATCCAGTTAAACCCAGTCCTGCACAAATGAACTAAAGATCTTTGCATTGCATTGGTTCAACAGAGGATAGAATTTGGCTTTTTCATTTTTCTAAATGCCTAGCAAGATAAGTGAGTCAGTTAAATGTATAAACATAAAATTTTGGGATTGTGATAAAACTGAAATTGAACTTCATTTTCCTTTCTGTAGAATTAGGATGAATATCTTTCCAATTTAATTTATAGAGCAAATCAAATTGGATGAAACAGCAAATGTAAATTTTAGTGTGTATGGAATTCATCAGATAAGAAATATTACAAATATCCTTTAAGGATACGGTTACCAAGTAATGCAGCAATTTTGTGTTATATCAGTCTTTGATAGATTCACAGATTTTTAAGTGAGAAGAGACTATTAAATCATTAGTCTGACCTGTGAAATGCATGAAGATGCTTTTGAGCACACATAACTGGTGTTTGACTAAAACTTAAAACTATCAAAAAAGATTAATGCAAACCTACAGATGCATATTTTGCCAGTTGTACATTCTGTTCATAAGATTAGTTGTGGCCGCTGTTCTTATAAGCTGTAAAGATGTTTGAGAGAATAAAAATACTTATAACAAGTCATTATTTTTTAGTAATGAATTTTTCTATATATATTTCTATTTAGGCAAGCTCTTCGGTTTCCGTTTACCTGGACTGAGACTCTTAACATACAGAAAACAGTCCTTACCACAAGAAGACCCTGATGCAGTGATAGTTGATTCATCTAAGCACAGTGATGACTCAGTGGCTATGAAGCACTTTAAAACCCCTACAAAAGAAAGCTGTAGCCCTTCTGAAGCGGATGATACAAAAGCACTGATACAGCCCAGTAAATGTTCTCCTTTGGTTAATATATCAGGACCTCTTGACCATTCATCACCTAAGCGGCAATGGGACAGACTTTACCCTGAAATGATACAGATAAGTACTCCAGTAACGCATTCCAGATCGAAGGAAAGCATATGTAGTATAAGAAGAGCATCTTCAGTACATGATATAGAAGGATTTAACATCCACCCCAAGAACGTTTTTAGGGACCGTCACGCAAGTGAAGGTACAGTGGAAAATATATAACTATTCTGTGATACAGTAGAGGAGGCAATTTTGGATATGGCTATCTAAATACCATTGTTCCTTAAAGCTAAGTGAAATAGACTTTACAAACACAATTAAAATGACATTAAGAAAATATTAAAGGACCAGACCTTTCCACCCTTGTCAGCTGATCAGCACTCCTAGCCTTAGGGACAATGGGAGTCAAGGACTCCCAAGCGCTCCTAAGGCTAGAAGCCCTGGTCACACTTGCATAAAGGGAATCATCCACACATTTTGTGTAAGAACTTTGTAGTTTATTCCTTGTTTTAGCACACCATTAATTGCATTAACTTGTGACTGGATTACTGCTTAAGACTTAAGTAACTGGTTATTATCTGGTAGAGGCCCTACATAACATTTCCATGACACTGGCCATTTTGCTACATCAGCACATGTAATTTTCAACATAAGCATGCTCAAGCTAACATCTGTGGAAATATTTGTAAGTGTTTAGCCCACAGTATTTCCTAGGTCATGACAAACTCTGTGTCACACATACGTAAGCTTGTCATAAAAATTCATTTTAGGAGGAAAATCCTAGTTGGTCTATGAGCAGACCTCCAGAAAAATCAAACCTCTAAACCACTGGATGTTCACTCAGCACTGAAATCAATAGAAAAATTAACAGAATGTGAAGTTGTTTCTTCTAATTATTCCTCCCACATTAAGTGAAGTCAGACAGCCCTTCTCATGAATCCTCATCTATTAATATAGAAACATCATCTCCAATATTAGCTAATCTTACAGTTTGTTCAAACACAGAGTGCCTGTGTTTTTCAAAGAGAGTTCTATGCATGGGAAGACTTCATTTTCAGGTTATAAATCAAAAACATAGCAAATAAATTTTGCTAGCTTGTTTGCAAAAAGATTGCTACTATTTTATTGCATACATCAGCATATGAAGTATAAATAAATGCTATCCCAAATGTAAGAAAAGAAAAGAAAAAAGAAAATGGAAAGCTGTATCATTTTAAATCTGTATTGTACAGTTAGTGTTTACTAAGGTGGCTGCCTTCTTGTTTACCCTTTATGAATAATCTGAAGTGGACTCATCCAATAAATAGTGGCCATGGACAGGCATTCATTTCTATTGCTGCAGATTTCTGGGAAATCTTCCCAAGAGAGAAAGGTGCAGGTGTTCCAGCCCAAAGATGCCCCTCTTCCTCTGCTCCATGTGCCTTCTCTAGACTGGGGTCCCTGAGGTCACAGTCTGGGGAAGGCTAGGAGAGCAACGGCTGCTGGACTCCTCCTAAGCACAAAAAGAGTCCAGCTGCGGGGAACAGCTCCCATACCTTTCACAGAAAGCATGTTTTCCAAGTCCCCTGGTCTGGGGAGAGTACGGAGGAAGCTGCAGCTGGACTTCCCACCTGATTAGAAGGAGTCAAGCTGTAGGGAAATGCCCCTCCATCTTCACCAGACCAGAGTCCCCGTGGCCTGGAGAAGATGCAGGGTAAGCTGCTGCGTGATTCTGCCCAGTTACAGAAGAGTTGAGCAGACAGTTGTTCACTCCAGCAAGAGAAATTCTCACAGGCAAGATCTTGCAGGTGTCAAGGTGGAGAATCTTTCTCGTGGATGGGTCAAATTTGCCCTGTGAGAAACTGAATGAACACAGGCATGCTGGGACTTTCTACTGGGAGAGCACTGATTCTTCTGGTAGAAATGTCATGCCTCAATAGGGTCAGTGACATGGTTTCTCAACTAAACTAATGTCATCATTCAAAATGTTGATTTTGCAAAGCACCAAACTGGGTGCTGATATATGCATACATACACACATACATAATATATATAATATATACACAATACATACATACACACACATATACACTGATATGTGTGTGTGCGTACATACACATACCAGTCTATATACATTGTGCAAATATAGTTTATATTTGCCTTCATATTTGCTATGTAAATATTTGTATTTATGTGGGTGTGTTATAAAGTTTTACAGCAGTGTTATCTGATAAAGTGTTACATTCTGCAGTCCAAAGAACTAAAGCAACCTTCTAACCCTTGCCTAGATGTTAAACATATATTTTGAATATATATGTAATA